GAGTATCGAACTTTTCGCTGAACGACAGCCCTTATGCAATTGACACACACAAGAAAATGTAATGGCAAAGTTAATGCGTTATTGATATCGCCTATTATCCCAATGAAAAGCTGTTCAAAAGTCACTTAGGCGACGCAATGCTCAATGGTATTTACATAGATGGATTTTAACAACTTATCTTTTATTGAGAACTACCATAGAAGAGAATACAAAATTTCAAATGAAAATTCAAAATGTGAAATCTGCATTGACATTCAGAAATATATATTTGCTTTTAACTACATAGGATTAAAGTTCACACAAAAAAAAAAAAAAATTAAATAAATAAATAAAAAAATCGAATGCATGCATTTTTTGTTCATAAATAATCAAGGGAAAATATATTTTAAAAAATATATTCAGATTAATTAGGAAAAAATGCCTTATTCCTTAATATGATACAAAAACATAACACAAATTTGTTATGAATTTAAAAAATGGTTAAAAAAGGTTTTATGTGTGATAAGACCTTTAACCGCGTAGCTCTCTGTTTTTAATTAAGAATCAATTTATTAATGCGAAACGCTGCTACATATTTAATTGGAAGAAAATTACAGTGATCCAATGTTGTAGCTCTTACACGTTGGTATATGGTTGGTTAATATATATAAATACATATATGTATGTATGTATGAGGCTATAAATATATAATTTTAATTCAACTCGCCACATAAAAGGCAAAGCGCGAGCTACAAAAAATATGATGGGAGCACTCAGGCTAAAGCAAATAAAATGCGACCCAAACGCATTATACATATACCCTGTAAATTTATTCAGCATAGGGTTGTTCTGAATTTAATGCAGCTAAATTTGGAAAGAAAGTTACTGAAATGAAATACATGTATATATGAAAAAAAAAATTTTTTTTGTTTTGTTTTTAAATAAATAAATATATAGAGATATTAATCATCGAATTAATGTGCAGTTTGCTGAATATCAGACAGTCGTCTACTTTTGAGCTATTCGCAATAGAATGATGTACGAAATTCGACATTTCGCTGAACCATTCACGCTGCTCCCATTGATATGAAAATAAACACACGACGCTAATCAAATCTCAGCGCATTTAATGTTTAAATAAACAAAAACGCAAGCAAAATTAAGCCCCTAGAGATGCTGCTGATGACTTGACGAAGAGCAGGAGTCAGTCACAGGGCTATATGATTAAGCGACGCATAAATATTTGATACGAATTACTGTGAGGACAAACCGAATGGCATTTAATTAGCTAGCCAAATATACTTCAATAAAAACCAGAAAAATAAAAAACTTTGGAAACAGAAACAAGCACTTGAAAATATATATTTTATACACAGTATAAATTTTATTATTGGGCGCCGACAAGTGGCTCAATTCCAGACTCCGCGGGACAACTTAAGCAAAAAAAAAAAAAAAAAAAAAAAAAAAAATGGAACGCTAAGTTCTCTGACTCCGGGATTTGTTTGTTATTTCTGTGTGTTTGTATATTTTTGGTTGAAGTTAGCTGCCGTTTTATGCCCTTTGAAGTGGTGTCAGCGCAGAGAGCGAAGCATTTCTCAGCCATACCGCTTGCTTAAGCAAAATAAGCAGAGCCAAGTTTATGACGGCGAGCCTCTGCGGCATTATTTCTGTAAATACCTTAACGCATTTTTAATAATTTTTATTGTCAACAATTTCGCAAAAGTTTTTCACTCTCTTTTTCGGGATTTAAACTTTTTGTTTATTGTGCCCCGTGGCTTCACTTTAATTTCCTAATCATCTTCAACTAAAAAAGTTTAACGGCTGCTTATGCGCAACATAAAATTATAAATTGAAATTTGAGGTGGCTATAAAAAACGTTTATGGGATATGTGATAAAAAGAAGCATAATTTAATATCATGTGAGGTCCGTAAGCCAAAAAACATAAGCAATTTGTTTCTTTTATATAAATTAAAAGCTACTTAAAGTGGCGCTAAGCTTTATATGAGATTTTAAATCAAAACGAATTGCATACAAATAAAAAAATAATAATAAATAAATGAAAAGAGTGCAATTTTTTTTCTCTATATAATATACTGAAAATTAAATTTATTAAAAAAAAAAAAAAAAAAAAAATAAAAAGAGTTTTTATTTCAACAGGAATCTTAAAGATCTCTCAGTGTAGACTGAGCTAGATTAAAGAACGCAAAAGAACTCTGTCAGTTTGGACGGGTACATCCTTAGAGGGAATCAAAGGTTAATAATTGTACAGGTGAATTTGGATGAGATAAGTCGTAAATAAAATGTTCATATTCAAATGTTTGAGGGCAAAACGTTGTAAGTTAGTTTACGTTCAATTATTTTATTTCTCTTTTTCATTGAACTGTTGGCATCAATTTTGTTTTGTAACAATTTCAACTGCATATTTTGCAGTCAAAAACAGAAGCACAAATCAAGCAAACAATTTTATTGCCATTTTTCATATTTATGAAATTGGAATAAAAACTTTTTTACGACAAAAAATATAAAATAAAAGTATTAAGTAAAGAGTGAGATTATAGGAAATGGAATTGAATTGTCACAGCTGCAATTTTTCAACTGTCAAATCAAAACATAAAACCAATTACTTTTAATGATTAATTACTTTGTGTAGAGAGGGGAAGCGAGAGTGAGAGAGAGAGAGAGAGCGCATGTTGAAAACCTCAAAATGATTTTGATTACGAGAGCAGGGCTGCAGTCAACATTCATTTGATTTATGATGCGCCGCACAACCCTTCTGACACAGCCGAAGCACAGCTGTTGGCTGCTGGCTGCTAGCTGCTAGCAGTGGCGGGCACACGTGACGTATGCTCAACACAATATTCTACATTTGAGATGGGCTTAAGCCTAACCCGGCGACACGCGAATCACCTTAAAATTCATAAGTATGTCGACGCGAGGCCTCAATCCTCCGCAAGTGAAACGGCAGCTGCATGTCATTAACTATATGGCCAAGACATAATCCGAACTGCGGCAGCCCGAAACGCGCAACATGGCGTATACGTAACATTCGGGCGCGAAACTTTTCAACGCTTCATTTTTAAAACATTTAACACATACAGACAAGCTCATGTGTGGGTGTGGGTGTCGATGTGGGTGTGGGTGTGGGTGTGTGTCTGATGACAACTTTTCTCACTTTGGGTCTCTGATTGTGTGTGTGTGTGTGTGTGTTTGCTTTTTCATCTATTTTTACCCATTTTAGTTGTCATCAAGGCTGCGGATTATGTGAGAGTTTATGCCTCCAAAAATTATGCAAAAGCGAGGCAATGAAAATGCTGATGAGGCGGGCTGTTGCTGATAATGTTTATGCTGATGGCATTGAAGACCGCAGAGCACCAAAAACCAAACGTAATTCGGGGTTGAAAGAGACAGTGAAAACAACAAAATAAAAGGGATAAGCAGAACTATATATGAAACCAAATATTTTAATCACATGCAGTTGTAGCTGAGTGCGGACTAAGGGAAGGAGCTGCCTCAACTGCCCAAAAAAAAAAAAAAAAAGGAGTCACTCCTTCATCAACTGGAGCCCCTTTCTGGCTCTCTGCTGCATGACGAATGAGTTGCTCAAGTTTAGCAATTTTAATAACAGTAAAAATTTTCGGCAGGTGTGCACAGGTGTAAGCAGCCAGAAAGTTAAACCATACAATATTCTACAGCAATTTTGTATTCATTATATAGCCAACCTGTTAGCCAATGTATATGTACCCATATATATATATATATATATACATATATATATAGGCAATTTATAATGTTCTTGTATTTGGAAACTCTCAGCAATTTATGGCTCGCATTTTCCGCGCAAGTCCAAAAACTCATAAAATTTTGTTTTATGCACAAGAATCGAGAATTCGAAGCGCGCTAATTTATGGACCACGGCGACATGGCAAATTATGAGCTGTGCTCGCAGTATCGTCTGGCTTGGGCGATGAATTTAAAATCGATTGGCTAAATTTACGCACTTTATCTACACACAATTTCAGTTGCAATTTGGCTCTGGCACTGAATTACTTTGCGGGTTACTGTAATTGACGATTGTTTGGCCCACAGAGCGAAGCCCCACTGCAAGCGGAAGCGCCGACATGTGATATATGTCGCTATATATAGACATATAAATATCGGTTTTGCGGTTTGCTCGCACTTGAGACATTGGCGCAGGTGTCAGTTGATTGAAGCTTACAGGTTTTCTATTAAGATGCCTTCATTGCCAGAGGCTAAATAGGTAAGGAAATATGAGCTGCCATTATGAGTTTGATTGAGTCTATCATTAGCAGTTACTGTAAATCTGATGAGACGAGCTGGACGTCAAAAGCTTTAAGCATGGATAACGTAGAGAGAAAGAAAAATGCCAATTGACAGCAAATAGTTAAGACTTTGGATATTAAAATAGCTTTTGCAATAAAAAAAATTTTCAAGAATTAGATTTTTAGCTTAATATAACAAATATATTTGAAATGCTGCTACGCTTCTATTAAAATTTAAAATATATTGCAAGAACTTTTTAAGAATTATTTAAAAATGTGAACATTTCATTCAAATTCCATTCGCTTTTAATAAAAATTGCATTAATTTAATAAAATAATATGATTTAATATAACTAATTATTTTAAATAAATTAATGAAAATGGTTCCTCAACTATTCGCTTCTTTCAGCATTAGAGTTAATTAATTAATACTAGCACCAAAGAAAAAAACAATAATAAATAAATAATATTATTAAAAGAGATTCTACAACATATTTATGAAAATTTGTATTAGTAAAAAATATATTCGATTTTTTCAGTCAATATTTAGACCTTCCGATGCAAATTTTTCAAATATATATATTTTAGTCTAATCTAATGTTCATTTTAAATTTATTTAAATGCCGTCTACTCGAAATCAAACAAATTTCCATTTAATTTGTCATGCTTTTAAAATAAAAAATAAATAAAAAAATGTTTTCCCTTTATATATTTATGCATTTGGGTTATTCCAAACTTACCCAATGTGCAACGGCATGTAAATCGAAAAATTACAAAAAATGTCAATTTACATCACGCCTCCTTCGGCAGGCGCTTGTTAATCATGGCACACACGCGCACACACACACACACTCGTACACACGCACTAATCTAGTTGGCTGTTGTTGCTAAAATATTCAAATGGGTTGCGGGGCTCCACAATAAATGAGAAATATGTTTGCAAAGGGCTCACGGGCTCACGGGCTCACGACAACAACAACAACAACAACAGTAATTGATACACAAACTATGCACAAACCAAAGCCAAAATACTCAATTCAAATTCTTAATTCAGTTCTTAAATGCGAACTGTGTTTGCTGGCTTAGGTAGACTCGACAGGCTTCGAGATATCGCAAAGACGTCAACTTGACAACTGAGCCGAGGCGAACGATCTGACGAACGACGTCCGCACAGCGCGAATGTTAAACGAATACTGACTCCGGGATCGAATGCAATGAAAGTTAAGAACTGTCACGCAAGCTTAAGCCAGCTCGAACAAGTTGCAAGCGCACATGTTCGTTCGCACAGCGGCGAGTCGAGCCTTGCGGAGCCGAGCCGGAACGAACCATGCCGAGCCAAGCCGAGCCACCCTCGTGCATTCTATGTTTTTTTCTGCTTCGGCTAGCACTCTTTATGATCATTGGCTTCATTTGCCAGTGCGAATGGATATGGATACAGTTTTTCGGAGGCATTTAATTACAGTTAAACAGAACGCTCACCCATCACTAGATGTTTCATGGCCCAACTGCAGCGCACCACATATTTGGTTACAGCTGCAGCACTGCTCTACGTGCGGCAGCAGCCTTAGCTGAGCGCAAAGTAACCAAGATAAAGCGTGCAATGGGGAATGTGTGTGTGTGTGTGTATGTGTGTGTGTGGGGCCTAAACATTAAAGAGGGAAAATAACAATAATAATTAAATAAAAGCATATAAATGAATATTTAAATACTCATGTCAGTGATCTCTTATACCGCAAAAACTAGAAAGTTTAAGTGTAATATGTACATATACTCGCATATATTATACGCACTAAAAGCTTATACTTTTTATCGATAGCCAATCGTATTTTCTTACTATCGATAAAAAAATAATTTTACTTAATTTTTAAGCGAAACTTGAATTCCTTAAGTGCGAAAGATTGTAGGCTTATTAGACTCTCAGCACTTTGACTTATTGTACTCTTAATAACCGACTATAATTTATTGTATACAAATTGCTTAATTTAATATATATTTTATAATGAGTATATAAAATATTGATTTATTTAATTTTTTTTAAATTAAAATATAAATATATGAATTATAATAATAATAATTATAGTATTTAATTTATATATATATATATATATATATATATATATATATATATATATATATATATATATATATAAATGATATCGTAGCTTTTCCTTTTCATTTTAGTTTTTTAAAGTCAGTGTCATTGAATATATTGTTTATTATTATTCGAACCTTATACTATACAACTAACCCCATTCAGTTGGCTACGTGTTAAGTCCAGCTATATTTTCTAGTATTTAATGTTAGCCTGCTTTAAATAATACAAATATATAACAGTGGCTGCTAAAAGTAAGACATTTGAAGGCAACTCTTGGCAGCCGACAAACAAAGCACGCAAAGCAATGAAAATTCCGACCTGCCGCAATAAATTCCGCGCGCGTATGCCAAAATGAGAGTGAAATATCCTGCACACACACACACACACACACACAGACACACATACTTAAAGAACTAACTTAAAGAGCAGAAGCAGGAATACCCACGGTGTATAAGTGTGTGCGCGCCATAAATCGCGCTAAGCCAAAACAAAACATAGCTGGCCAAGTCCCAGCGAACAGCATCATGCATCAGGCATCAGGCAGGTGGATGCCACAGCCTTTGACCTGACACAATGCTCTACATTCGATGTTTTTCCCTTCTGTTTTTTTGGTTACTAGCCCCCCTGCACCTACCCAACTTGGTTCGAGAGGCGACTGCGCAGTGGCGCATCGAACCGAACAGCTGTTGAGTGGCGCAAATCCTTACCTAGGACAACATTAGTAAGAGCAGCATCTTTCAGCAGCCTCCAAGACTAACGCAAGGCAGTGTTTAATTTTACATTATTGTTTTATTGTCGTTAATGATCAAAAATATCTGAGGTTTAATATGCATACATATCTTCAGCCCTGAGTTCCTAGAACCAGCATGTGGAGGCTATATAAAAAGACATCTTCAAAAAACATGTTGAGAGTTCCCCAGCTCAAAACATACCACGTCAGTTCTTAGCAAGTTACCAGCCGCAGGGGCAGGATGTGCAACACGGACTGCCGCATGGTCCACATGGGCCGCAGCAAGGACCACAGGACGGACCACAGCAAGGACCACAGGATGGCCCGCAGCAGGGACCACAGGGGCCACAGCATCTGCCCGCTGGTACGAGGCAGCCAGGCGGGCAGGGCCCAACATAGAAAGGATCAAACTTGCAAACGATAAGCATTTCCCTTGTATATCCTACTGAAACGGAAGCGAGTCCTTCTTGGCACCAATTATACACTCGCTGCAGCTGCACACAAAATCGTTTTAATAAATAATAAATTTAATTTAAACATTTTCCAAAATCGACTTACTCAAGTATTTCCTGTGAGCCGAAGATATGTGTCTATTAATTCCTCAGCTAGCGCCGGTTTTTATTTTTTCATCGTACGCCGAGCTACCTACCTGAAAATTTGAAAAATAATGAAAATGTTTGAGTAAAACGGAACTAGGCTAACAACTGAATTCGTCAAAGCCTACTAATTTGGAAATTTTGCGTAAAGTTTGATTCACTACTTTTCATATATTTTCTCGCCTGCTGCGACAGATATAGGGCATTACCAATTTGGATTTCTCAAATATTTGGTTTACTGTCGGAAATAGATTATTTTCTCATTTATTTATTAACCATTTCTTTTAGCTGAAATTAAAAGAGATTTAACAATTGATGCTGATTTTTATGAAGTGGACGAGAATGTTTTCAATCATTTCGAAAAATATACAAAAATGAATTTATAATTTGATATTTTTTTTCTATATTTTTGCCTCCATATTTTATTAATAACATATATATTTTTTCAACTACTTTGAACAATTTAAAAGATTTTATAACATGTTTATTGCAGCTTGCAATAAATGTATTTTATAAATTAACGTCTGCAAACGTATGTCTTGCAAATCAATCCTTATTCACAGCCAATACGAGAACTCTGGGTTGACAACATTTTAAATATATTTTTAGGCTTTATTTAATGTCTCACGTTTTAGTATATTTTTAAGCTCGCTATCGTAGTCGGAGTCGACGAAACAAAAATAAAATCGACACCTACACCACATTAAATTGCCATAAATAGCAACACACCTCGTAAGTAAAACAAAAGCGAAATAAATTTATAACATATTTAATACTGAGAATTTAAATTGAACATTTAGGCAGATGTTGAAATAGACACACACATCTTCAGCCTTGTCCAGAGTTTCGTTTACTTGTCACATGTGTCTCCATCAAAGATAGCATAAAAGGGCAACTGAGCGTGGCGAACCAAATCAAATATAGATTAGCATTTAAATGAAAATATTATGTAGGAGTAGGTGGTATTACATTGCTTAAATAATCTCGCTATAATCTCGCTATAATGATCGCTTAGCAGCAACCGCCACCACAGCAGCCTCCACAGCAATTACGACAGCTGGCACAGCCTCCTGCTGGCACTAGGCAGCCGGGTGGGCAAGGTCCAACATAGAAAGGATCGAATTTGCAAACGATATACATATTAAAATTCTATATATGCACACACGTCAAAACTCTACTTGAGCTGAAAAAAAAAAACATGAGAATAAAAATTAATAAAAAAAATATATATATAAAATTAAAATATAAATATTTATATGTATTATACTCACAATATTATGCTTTCTTTGCAGCTAAAAATATGTGTGAATATTACCCGGAACAAATGAAATTTCTAAAAAATTCCTATTTCATTTGTTATGTTCACAAGCCGAAAGATCGAAAGCGAATGAGCTCAACTACGAAACTGAATTCACAGCTGAGAGGGCAAAGCCAGTTTCGATTCAGAGAACAAAATCGTAGCCAACTTTGCTTTACAAACTGTGCATGCTTTGATCGACTATATATGTATTCATATATATATATATGTATGTAAAATACTTTATATATATATATATGTATATTTATATATATTGGATTCATCGATTTACACGCTGCGTTTGTCCTTGTTCTCTCAGCTGCAATTGAAGTCAGTTGGTGCTTTGGATCCACTGTGGCTCAAGATGAGTCTCTTGATATACATATATGCACGCTCCCTTGTGGCCTGATCCAACGCTATTGTTCACACTTACAGAGTGCCATAGGTAACTCATCAAGCACTGGTTGAAGCATACATTTCAAGGATATTATACAGACGACGACCAGTTTTCTTCACAGAAGCGCATGCATTACGGAACTGTTCATTATCCGTTAAGTGGATGCTACGTGCGTGCGAAATACGATTCACGAGCGTTGTGCGATTACTGATAAACTGACTCAATTGGGGCGTGGCATTGGCGACCACCTGCGTCGTCATTTGCGTCAGTACAACATATAATGCAATCACACCCATCGCCCCAATACATCTGTGGACAATCTCCATGGCGGGACGTGTTTCTCCTTTATTATCTGCGGGCCAACAGAGCCAAATAGCCAAACATTACCTAGAACTAAAAATTTTGATAACAGAGCCAAAATATCGAACACCTTTTGATTGTGAAGTCAAAACGTTTATGCATCGTTATCCGAATGATTTTCGATTTCGACTCGTGTTTCGTTTTTTTGTTCCGGTGATGTTTGGCCGCCAAAGTGCATCATCACTTCGATAAATTCGCCAAAGAGAAAGCAAAGCTTCAGCCATATCCGTATCAGTGCATCCTCCATAGACTCAGCATTCATGGTGGGTCCTTCCTCAACCTGAACCAGCGACAGCGACTCATGAACCTCTCCGATGGCACTACGCACAGTCTGCATTATGAATATGTATTTTATCGCTTTGCTATAATACAAATTTCGACAATGATGGCGACCGGCAAAATCTGGACCACACGCTTTTTAACCTTATCTGAATTTGAGCTCAATACATTGTTCAATAACAACCAAATGATAATGAGAATACGAATATAGACTTTTTATAGATGTTGAAGAGAGCAGCGCCGACTTGATTCAAATATCATTATTCTTTACCAGATTTGGCCAGCAATTTCAATTGAATTAGCCTATTCCTATATAAATAACCACAATCTCATATAAATAAGTAAAGACAGAAATCAAACTCTTGCAATTTAGTTCTGAACATCTTCTGCTTTATTGTATGTTGAGCAATTTCGTATAAATTTGCCCATTGAAAACCTATTTCATGCTCTTGGTATTTTCGGCCTCTTTTGGAACGCAACATCGTTGTCTCTCGTCATTGTTACCCTTGCAGCGATCGGGCCATCCGCACGGCACAAAGCCCGAAAATATACCAAACGGACAAGGGCCACATGATTGGTCAGGATAAGGGCCAACGTAGAAGGGATTCATGTACTCACTCTTGGGGCCACATTGCTTGCGAGGCATATTGCCGAGTATGTAGTAAGAGCTGGAATAGATTCTAGAAGTTTTCGGTTAGTTCAATGTCCACTTTGGTATTTTTGTTTATTTTTTACTTACTTCAATTTGGGCAAATTTAAAATGCCTAGAACTAAAAGCTGTTCAGTTGGAGCTACATTAGTGTTATGAACAAAAACTGATTTCTCAGCTCCTCCCAAGCAGCAGCTTAGCTGCAAAGCCCACTTGATGTTTGAATTTTGCTCCTTGAAGAGTGTCTGGAGCTAAAAGGGTTCAAGGTTCCGTAAATTTGACATTGGCATTGGGGGCTCAGCTTTGTTGTCGTTGGGAACTTCGTAACCTCTGTTGGGCGGCATTTGGGTCTTCTCAGCTGCCGGGGAACAGCCGCCACAAGGTGCATTCGGTCCGGGACATGGCCCACACTCGGTATTCGGACAATTGTTCTCGCATGTGCAGTCCGTGTCGCAGCAGGGCGGATTGGGCCCAATGTAACCAGGATTGAACATAATAACCATTGTGGCGGTGTTCCCTTATAGCTAAACCAGCCATCGATCAAAATCTTGCATACGTTCACGAATTTCAGACTTACCTTCAGAGGTTATTGAAGCAGCTTGGAGCTATTGTTGGTTTTTGGGTTGTTGTATGTTGTGTTTCGTGTTGTGAGTGTGGAGTGAATAGATTTTCCATTCATTTGACATGGCTGAAAGTGTACTCAAATGACAGCACACTCATGGCATACTAAAGTCAAATTTTAATAGCTGCACTGCAGACACATTGACCCAATCACAATAGCATGATAAGCATCTGGGACCCCATCTACCCATCTCTGCCTCTCCCTGTCTCTATGCCCGCTTTGCGGATGCCAACACAATGCGTATAATTATTTCATAATCGGGCAACACTTCATTTATGGTGACAAAAGCCTGCAGATGTGCAAAGCCACTCCCCGGCGGCAGATACTGACCAGCCAATAAATGGCATAGAACATCAAAATGCTTAAGCTGTGACTCTAAATACCCTGTACACAACTGAGGTATATATATATGTATACATATATATGTATAAATATATGTATATCAATATTTGTTTTCAGATTTTTTGCTATTTTTTGACATTCATATATAATATAAAGATTAGCGATTTAAATCTATATTAATTAATATGTATACAAATATTTCTCTTAAGGATATCCATATCCATATAAAATAAGTTTATATACCAATTTCATAATACATATAAATAGTATTAAGATTGTAAGAGTTCACCTATTTATTTATCAAATAAAATAGAGATTAGTTTAAATTTAAAAAAATGCCCATTTAAATTATTAGGCAAAATTTCTTAACATATTGTATTTGTTTAATATTATTTATTATTATTATTTAATATTACTATTATTATTATTAATAATATTTAATATTATTTATCATTATTATTTAATATTGTATTATTCAGTATTTATTTAACATTATTTTAATATTCCTTATCTTATAATTAGTATAAGCATTTTCTATAGTAGCATTAATACTATTTTATTTTTTATTTCGATATTAGCAGAATATGTAAAACACTAAATTCTGAGAAATAATGTTTAAATGAATTTCTAAACCTAGATAAATATTAATTTAAAAGAAATTTATTTTAATTAAAAATATGAAAAATAATCACTAATATTTTTATTATTTTTTGTTCGAGAGCATTGATTTAAATTTAAAGTAATAAAAAACATGCCAACGATCATGGCGCCTTTCTCAGAGTTCATTATATGACCTACATGGTATGTCGCTTATTTTATGCCCTGCTGTATATACCCTTTCGCACACAAAACATGTGAACGATGCAATTGCCAAATGTCAGAGCTTAAATTTTGGTGATAAATGTATTATATGTATGTCAATTTTGAATTTGAAATATGCCCCATGCCAATGCCGTCTAGAGGGTATAGCAACAATAGCAACAACAACATGCATACTGTAAATTTTAAGTTGAAATTAATGAATAATTAAGCTGCATTGGGGAGCCATTCGAACCGTTGTTCGTAAGCGGAAATGCAACATTTGCATAACTAACACAATGAACTACATACGCAACGCAGTTGCATGAATCTGCTGCTGGCCCATATGAGTGCGTTCATCTAGACATGCCATCAATTGCTGCTCCATGCATAGATATATGTATTTATTGTGGCATTAGATATGCAAATTTCAATACTTTCACAAACATAATTGGTGTATAACGGCAGTTGCCTTTGTCAATTAATCAATCAATCAAGTCAGCCCAATGAGCAACGCTCCAGTATGCGGTGCGGAAGCAACTTGTCCGCCTGCAAGAGTGCACCTTGTAGCATGTTAATCATGTCATCATCAGTTCTGATCGCCCACAAAGTTCAAAAACAAAAAAGCAGCAGACATCAAACGTTAAGCAGCGCTTGTTCGGCTATTGCTATTGCTGCTGCTGCTTTTGCTGCTGCCTTTGCTGCTGTTTTTGCTGCTTCTGCCTCGCGTCAAAGTCGTGTGCGTTCTCTGTGTAATTCATATTCAAAGCGCGTTGCGACACAGCGCGCTGCGGTTACCCCGGCTGGTGCGGGGCAAGCGACGCACTTATGCGTAGGCGTCTGGCTGCTCCCCCCTCGGCTTGCCCACGCCCTTCCTTTGTGCAACCGAGCGCACTGCTTTTAAGTGGCGGCCACTGGGCAGCGTGTGCCCCACGTTGCGCGGCACGTTGTGGGGCGCAGCTCGGCTTACTTTATGTGTGCTGAGTATGCTGGTGTGTTAGACTGTCTATGTGTGTGTGTGTGTATGTATTGGTGTGTGGCTGCGTGTGCCTGCTTTGGCGATAGGCTAAAGTGCTACGGCTAAAGTGCCAATTCTGATCCGCTGTGTCGCTTTGACGCTTTGTCTTCTTAGCGCGCTTACTAAATTTATACACAGCGAGAAATCGGCACAGTTTCAAATTCTAAGATAAAAAAAAAAAAAAAAAAAAATTAAAAAAAAAAACCGTTCAGACTTAAAAAAAAAAAAAAAAAATTTCAGAATCATGAAAAAACAATTTGAATTTATTGTAATTAAATATGCATAAATATATATAAATATATATATATATTTATATAAAAATATTTGATCACCGTAGTGCGGCAATCGGTGTTAATAATCAACGATTTTTCTTTTTGAATTGACTAGCAAATGCCATGGCATCGATCAAAACTGTATCTCATATGAAAAAAAAAAAAGTCGTATAAATTGCTACTGAATGTCTTCTGCTTTATTGTGTATATATTGGGCAATTTCGAATAAATTTGCCCATTGAAAACCTATTTCACGCTCTTAGTAGATGCGGCCTCTTTCGGAACGCAGCAACGATTTCTTTCAGCCATGCCCTTACAGCGATCGGGCCAGCCACATGGCACAAAGCCTGAAAAGGCACCATACGGACACGATCCGCATGACTTGTCAGGATATGGACCAATGTAGAAGGGATTCACTTCTTCATTCTTGGAAGGACACCACTTAAGCACCATATTGTCGAGTATGCAATAATTTCTAAAAAAAAAAAAAAAAAAATTACATTTTTATTCAATTTTTATTTGTATTTGATTTTGATGATTTTCTTTTCTTTTTTTTTTCATGTTTACTTACATCAAATTGGGCAAATTTACAGGTCCTAAAACTAAAAGCTGTTCAGTTTGAGCTACATTGGCATTATGAAGATAACTCGATTTCTCAACTCCCCCCAAGCCTCAGCTCAGCTGCAAAGCCAACTCGATGCTCAAAATCAAATTCTGACAGCTGCTCTTTGTGGAGCTGTTAGATCCAAGACAATTATAGTTGGTCTGTGGGTTCCTATATCATTATTGGCATTGGTAATTCAGCTATCGCAATATTGATAGACAAAGGCTCAATAGCTATATGTTCAAGTAATAAAAAATAAATATACATGCAAAAAATAAATATATAAACTCGAACTCGAATGGATCATCCTCATTTGAATGTTGTATTACCATTTTGAGCATAATGAACCTCGATTGACGACGCACGCCATAACAATTAACTAATGCTATAATAGTTATACATAGGTATATATATGTAGATATATGTAATTATTGCTAAGAACTGTTTTTAGTTTGTTTGGCGACAACATAAACAAGCTCGAAAAAGAAACTGATAAAGAGAAGCAAGCAACCAATCGACTTTGTCTATGGCACATCCGTTTGTAGGTCTCATGGCTTATGGCGAGTCTCTTGCTATCTCTTTCTTTTGCTTGTTTTTCAATAATTCCAGCTCTTGTTATAGTGTAGCTCGTGTAGTTCCTGGGTGCAACGGTCTGGCCACGCGCAGCGGCCACTTGTCTGGTCGTAACTGTTTGAAATATGTTGTGGAGAAATGACAAAGTGACCGGAAGATGATACTGTAATAAAACAAACACACACACACACACATGCACAGAGACACTCATAGTTAACTCGTGGGGCGGCCCATGTTCATGTTTGTCTAGGAAATAGCCGAGGCGCAGCTATGTCCAAACTGGAACCGAACGTTGGGACAACTGGACAATGTTTTATATGCTGTGCGCTTCGCGTTTTCTATTTGCGTTTCTTTTCATTACTATTTTTTTTTTTTCTACTTTTTTAACCATTTATTTACAAATGAACAATATTTATGGCCTCTTTCTGAACTCTAACTACGTTTCGAAGAGCTCTAAGCTGGTTGCTTCCGTTCTGGTATATGGCAACTATTTCTTTTTTTTTCTATTTTGATTCATAATTTTGTGGTTTTATTTTAGGAATATGAAAATCGACAACTATCGAATATTTAAAGATTTTTTATTTTTTATTGTTAAATCTTTATAAAATTTATGATAATTTACCAGCGATAATGTATTGCCAATAAATAAACTATAAATAAAAACTTATTATGCACAGTGCGTCGACTTACCAACTCAGGTGCGATTAATAAAATAACAATGTTATAGACAGGTTGAGTTTATAAATCTCCTGAAAAGCGATAAAGATCTTATTTTATGTGCTAGAAGTTTTTTCATTTGAATTATGATTTCTATAAGACAAGCTGAGTTGACAGTAATAATGAAAGTCTGTATCTGTATCTGCATCTGCATCTGCATCTGCATCTGCATCTGTATCTGTATCTGTATCTGTATCTGTATCTGTATCTGTATCTGTATCTGTATCTGTATCTGTATCTGTATCTGTATCTGTATCTGTATCTGTATCTGTATCTGTATCTGTATCTGTATCTGTATCTGTATCTGTATCTGTATCTGTATCTGTATCTGTATCTGTATCTGTATCTGTATCTGTATCTGTATCTGTATCTGTATCTGTATCTGTATCTGTATCTGTATCTGTATCTGTATCTGTATCTGTATCTATATATTTTAGGCACGAACAAGTTAAGAGTTCTGATATAACTCAAGAGTTTTTGATGCCTTCAAGTAAGCTCAATTTGAATCCAGGCAACAGCTCAACTATTTGAAAACTCAACCATAATTAGAGTTGTCGTGGGAACAATTTATTACGTCCATCGAGCTGGGAGCACTAAATGCCGGCACTTAGCCGATCATAACTTTGGCCATGATAAATCGAACTGGAATCGCCCGCAGAGGCGGCTCAAATCGTATGCAAAAGTAAAACAAAAACAAAATTAAAAAAAAAAAAAAAAAAAAAACAACTGTGGCTGAAGTGGCTGGAAAGAAGGAGAAGCAATTCAGGTTCTGGAGGCAGCGTGGAAGCTGGCGTTGAATGAATTGGTCGGCCGTTGTCTTAGCAATCAGCGCTACCGGGCATGGAAAGTTAACGCACAAGCATCCAAAAACCGGATTCGGTTTCCAATTGACGCTGCGGCACTTGGCGCGTTCTTTGCCAGGATGAACTGCGGCGGATGTTAGCTGTGGGAAGGGGGCGGCGCCAAAGGAGGGGCTCAGCCTCTAAGCGCCTTGCTGCATTGCCTGACTGTCGTCTGTGCCAGCGCCAGTGTGTGGAGCGCATTCAAGTTGAAATTGCGGCAATTGCGTGTCGACCACAATCTTAACCAACAGAAGCAGCACCCAGCCAAAAGTTCTAACTGACTGGCAGTGTCTTGGGTTGCTGCTGCCTGCCTCGCGCCCCCCGTCCCTAGCCCCTATTCTCTGTCGTCCGTCTGGCAGTCTGTTTCCTTTTGTTTTAATGAATAAGTTGGAACACCTGCTCGTTGGTTGGTCGTTGAGTTCTTCTCCCTTCGTGCTGTCTGTCGCCTGGACATGTTGCTCGAGAGTGTATGTGTTCTATCTTACTGTCAAGCCGGCCTCCCTCCTCTCATTGTTAATACGCTACATATGTTGTGCGGCATGTGAGTTTTGAGCAAGTTGCTCGACAACAAAACTGTCTGCTGTCAGTGCATCAGTTATTGTCAGTGTACTTTTAGCAACGAGCTAAGTTTTTAGTCCGTATTTATTGTGAATGTCGCGAAATTTCTCAGCAAAATTTATGTTGCTTAAATAATACTTGATGAAATTCTCAAAGTATGTTTCGTTTCACACGCAGTATTTAAAGTACTCCACTGAAGAAGGTCATAATGATTACGGATGGTATATATATAAAATATTTCTTTAACATTAAATTATTTTTGTGCCAAATTCACACTAGATAATAATTAATAGGGATTGCTAAGACTATAATCAATAATTATATAAAATATATAAAAAGAGATATCACACGCAAACTTAAACGATAATTTTCGGTCTTAACTTATCAATTTTAATTTTTTAATTTTAACAAATTAATAATAATAATATTAGATAAATAATATTGTAAAATAATAATATAATATTGTAATAATATAAAAGCATAATAATAATACTCTTATAAAAAAAAACATATATGTATATCCATTTCATTCAGCAATTTATCAAAAAGCTCTTGCAATCATCTAAAAAAAAAAAAAAAAAAAAAAAAAAAAAAAAAACAATAGAAAATGGTTTTGAGCTGAAAGCGTTTCACAGTAAATTTGTAATAATATTCTCGTTATTTTTCCCATTTATTCATAATTTGCACTCGATTCTTTTTTATGATATTCATGAAAAATCATTGTCACGTTGCTTTGTCATTGCTTTGCCTTTCTGTGATTGGGTTCTTTTCTTTATAAATTTCATATTTTTATTGCCACGCGATATGTCTAATAAGTTTGTCAGCTTTGTCTGCACTTGATGCTTTAATTATAAAGTTGTTTCGCGTTGGCTGCGCTAAGCAAGTAGGAGAGCTCGTAGTTGCCGGTAAAGTCAATAAATAACCTGTTCAAATGTCGTTAAGCGTAAATCTGTGATACTACAGAGACAGCAGCGAGTCGCAGCTCACCTGAGCTACTCAAGACGTATAATTTTCATTCATTAAGCGGTGCCACACCTGCGTGCCCCCGCTCGCCCTGCACCCCTTTTCACTTGTGCGTGGCCCTGACACTGACACTGAAACCGGCTGTTAGCCGATGCAAGTAGCCGCTTTAAAAAGCTCTTTTGGCCACTTGGCTGCCTGCCCTATCGGCCAGCCCATCGGCAGACGCCGAAGAGAGCCCTCGATATGCTCGATTGCCTGTAACAATGCAGAACGAGACTGAGGGCACGTTAAGACACGTTTTCAGTTGCCGTGATAGCGCAAAAAGCACGCACATATGCGCGAAACAAGCAAGGCGAAAGAGTGAAGCAAAGAATAACAGAGTGAAGCTAATAATGGGCTTGATGAAGACTCGATGCTCTCTTTTTGACAACTCATTGATGAAGTGTTGGAAGAGGAGTTGGAGGCAGATATGAATACCAGATGAGCAACATATACTATATGAGTTATTGGATTGACTGTCACGATCATCTGATTTGACACGCTCTCTATAAATTTCTCCAAGACAACATCTAATCTCTACTTTACCCAAGTAATTCCAAGCGCTCATCATTTGGTTTCAATATGAAGTTACCTAACCCAAGTAATCCAAAACTGAACTACTTTAAGCAACTCCTCCTAATTATAACCAAAAACAAATAAAACATTTGCTGATGCAAACATCTTCATTATACTACAATTTCATATACTACTGCTCTAATTTGGTCACCATCAACTTTCCCCCCTCTCTCTCTCTTTTCTCGCTCTGCTGTCTCACATAGCTGATACACCCACCGCAAAGAGTATGCAAACATCAACTGCCTGCAAATTGAATTGTGAGTCGAATGTGCGGTTTTCATCAGTCTGCAAATAAATGAAAGGACTTAAGGACTCGACGTAACATCGATTTACGCATTTGATAACGAGACGAAAGTCTCTGAGTGCATTTTGAGCCAGCTCACAGTAAAAAGCCAAAAGCCATTGCAAATAATTACAGAGCAGCAGCAGCAACAGCAGCAGGTGGAATGGTGATAATGATGATAATGACGATGATGATGTTGCAAGACAATTAAATTGGTGTGTGGCAAAATTTAATGTCGGAAAATCAAAGCAATTTCATTTAGGACTTTCTCTCTCTCTTGCGCATTCCCCCTCTCTCTATCTCTCTCTCTCTCATTCTCGCCCTGAACAATTATAAAGCACGACATTGCACTCTTCCTGCTGGTAAAAGTATAAACTGCTCGTTGTCATCCCATTGTCAACTCAGCTCGTTGCAAGTTTTGCGGCAAATAATTTTCTTTTCGTCTTTTTCTTTTTTTTTTTTTTTTTTTTTTTTTCTTTTTGCTTTTACTGTTGCGTTGCACTTGCTCAATTTCTTTTTGCTCTGCTTGCTGCTGCAGACATTTTTAATAAGTTGCATGGCAGCCGTTGCACGTCGCAGCAGCAACAAAAGCAAACATTGCAGCTGCCA